GTAAAAGAAAAAACGAAAAGAAATATGCTGATGTCTTTGATTTTTAACTTACATTTGAGGAAAAACCTGACCACTTTGGTTTCACGTGCTGTCCACGTTTGCAGGACAGCATAAATAGTAGCAGATTGAATGTTTGCTTGTTTTATTTGCTTCATTCCTGCAGTTCTGCCTGCTGTTCTGCTCCTCTTGCAAAACAAACCAGCTGAAACCTTTATCACCAGTTTAAGGAATAGGATTCCCCTTTCTCCCCACTCCTGCTTGCTCCCAGGAGCTGCAGAAAGGGCCGGAGTTGAGGGACAGACAGTTTGTTCACACAYAAATACACTTTTTCAAAGGAGTTTTATATCTTTGGACTCATCCTGTGTCTCTGGCTGAGCACAGACAGCAAAGCTGAAGAAAGAATTTATTGAATWGTTAACTGCAGAGCTTTTAGAAAGCTTCGCTGAATAACATAAAGGATTATGGCAAGGACTAAAAAKGCAGGAAAACAGAAGTAAAGCATGGTCTGCTCTGTAAAATAAAAAAATGCTTATAATAAACACTGTTAGTGTTTAGTTAAATTTCAGCTTTAAACTACTTTAAGYAGCACTTTGTGGTCCTGATAGGATGCAGATAAACAAATAAAAATCTGCTGGGCATTTGCACAGTTTGGTCTTTAGGCTGATCAGTAAAAAAGTTTTTTTTCTGGACACAGAAACCTGAATTGGAAAGATTGTTTCAGAGGCGATCAGGGTAAATTCCAGTGTAATTCTTAGTAAAATCTTGATAATTCTTACTAATATTCTGGTGGGTTCTTAGTAATACCTCGGTAGAAACACATGACTCAGTGGAAAGGAAAATTCAATTCCACTGACTCAGGGGACTTGGGGCTATTAACTGCTCAGTGTGCCTGCCTTTAAAATAGGGTTAATGCCAGGTGTGCATTTTGGGGTGCGATGGGGGAGGCAGGAAATGCAGCCTCAGTGAAGACAGGCAGGAGCTGGAAGTTTGATTTGCTGTGGATAAAATAGCTCGGGGCTTTCGGAGACAGGAACTTCACAAATGTGGAGTTGCAGTGCTGCTGTTGAGGGTTTTAAGTTCTAAAGAAGTGTTTTCTTTAGCTGGGATTGAAATGTTGGTTTCATGAAGTATTTGACTGACGCTGAAGATGGGATCTCAGTGTRTCTTTTAAGGAGAGACATTTTATATGCAAATTCAAGTTATGACTTGACCAGAGTAAAAACATGATGGGAATAAAGCTCTTCAAATATAGGTGTGTTGTCAGTTTGAAGAYRCTTTCCAGTGTTGTTTTAGGCTGAAAACAAAAGCTCTTCGGAAGAAAAAAAAATTCTTTTCTGCCAAGCATTTTGTCAGATCACAGAGAGTAAAATTTCAGTTACTGATTACTGAGAAGACTGTCAGGAAACGCTCGAGGAAAGGCAGCCTGAGTTCCCCTCCCATGCTTCCCCAGACAGGGAAGATGGTTCTGAGGTGAAGATTTCATGTGTTACACCTTTCCAGCCAGGAAAACAGGCTGCAGTTCTTTGTCTGGCTGCAGAACTGTTCATTCAGGAAATCCCCACACACAGGGATAAAGAAACTCCAGAATAAATCAGGTACTGGCCAGAATATATCGTGGTCTGAAAATTGGGATATGGTTTTGATGTAATAGGTTTTAATTAAAATTGGGAAAGAATGGGGATACRTGTAGGGTTTAATTATTTAGGCCTACCAGGGCTAAGGAAAGCCTCTGTGTACCTCTGAATCTGCCTCCTGAGTGCACCCTTAAAATTACACTGTATTTGTCACAAAGATCTCCTTGAAACACTTCACGTGTGGCTTTCCTTCCCTAAGCTAAAAAAGGACCACAGATCACAGCATATTTTTTTTATTTCAGATTGTTTTAAATTTTTGTTAATACCTTTTATTTTAATATCTCAGAGAYGCAACTGCTGCTGTCCTAGAGATGCTTCCTCCCAGTTTTGCTGACTACAAATAACCTGAAGTTTTTCTTGGGTTTTTTTTTGTTAGCATGTGTTAGAGTAGTATCAGTGTTTTATAACACAGGCAAAAGAGCCTCTTACTAAGTGACAGAATTTTGCAGAGCAGYAGCTGATCCTGTTATTTAGTCATGTCCAAAATGTGGCCCAAAGTGAGAATTGGCAGCAATGCTGAATGAATTATTTGCTTTCTGGAAAAACGCTCTCCCATATAATCTCTGGGAAAATTTTACAGAAGAAAAAAACTGACTTTGTAACTTGGTTCAAGGCTTGCTCRCAGTATAAAATTTGGTTTTGTGGTTTGACAGTTTTATGTGAATTATTTCACCAAGGTCACTTCTATTTCTCCCTGTAAGTTCACTGCTGACACAGTAGATGGTGGGCACGTCTCCAGTAGGCTCAGAACAATCCCTCACAGCAGTGAATTSGGCACACAAAGTAGTACTCGAGTGGCCTCACTTGTGTTTTGGGTAGAGCATAGCAAGAATTAAAAATAGAAATTAATGATGGTGAATTTGTGTTTATTTTGAATTGGGCTTTGTTCTCATCTGACTGGATTATTAGTTTAATTTACTGGATAAATTGTTTGGTCTTGACTAACATTGACTGAGAAGTCTCTGAACAGAGCGTATTGATCTTTTCTGAACTCTCACGCTCCCTCTGTTGCTCCTTATTTTAGGTGTATTAGAGCGGATCAAATTTCTGCCCCYCTTTTCTCCTTACATGTATTTTTTRTRGTGCCCARCTGAAAGAACAATCCCCTTTCTTTACACTTCATCAAAAAAACCAAACTGGTTTTTAATGCCTGTAAAGCTGCTGGAGAAGATTTCTGTGAAAGGCACAGGAGGAAACCTTCACCTCACTTATTTCTGGCTCCCTTTTCCCTACAAAACCCTGGAAGCAGAGTGGGTTTTTTGGTGAAATTTCTCACACGGAGAAATTTCCTTCTCCAGCAAGCATTGTTAGGGGGATCAGATTTTACTGAGCATTACTTGTTTTGGGGGGAAGAAGAAATGTTTATTCCATTCAAACTTGTTTTACCTGGCATGAGCATTGCTGTTGGAATTCATCTCAAGTACAGTACTGCTGCTCCTATGTGGCTGATGTTTTTCAAGGAAATCATAGGCCTAAAAATAGTCTGCATAAACAACAGTAAGAGGTTTGTACTTTCAGTTCCAGGTTTTAGCAATATCTTGTTGTTATTTTCTAATTTTCGGTTTCCAAAATCCATTAAGCTGATTAGCAGAGTGTTTAAAAATAAAACATAACAAGAAAAACCCCCCCGAACCCAAAACAAAACCAAAAATCCACCTCTTGTAGAACCCAGCATAAAATGTTCTGCTTGGATAAATTAATACAGAAAAGCTGGGTGATTGCAGTAATCACCTTTGTATCTTGATGAACACGTTCTGTTCGGAACATTTTTCAGGCATCCTCCAACTTGTAAAATTGCCACATGATTCTGAAACTSCTCTGGGGGGAGAGGATGGGGTGGAAACACTCGTGCTAGCTGGAACTCAYGGCTGTTGTACATATTTAACATCCTCTGTGTACTGAATGGAGTTTTATTCCTTCCCTTTGGATTAAAAAAAAAAAAAGAAAATTACTTATCAGCCTAGAAGATATGAGGAAAAAATGAAAAAATGCAAATTGCAGAGCACAGTTTGTCACCACTTTATCCTTGTGTGTCTGTGGCCRTGTCACGTTCCATGATGGACATTGATCTTTGCACTTTGTCTCACGTGTTTTTGGAGCGTGTTAACTTAGGATACATTTTAATGTGCTTAAAATTCTGTAATTCAGTTTAAACAAAAACTGATTTCCACGTGTCTCTGAAAGAAGATCACCTGTTCCTGGTGAAAAGGGCATTGCACTGAAGCTGTTATTAAAGGCTAGGATTATTTTTCCCCATTTCCCTGCTCCTGGTCAGGTGTTTTAGGAAGTCATTTGGGGCTGAAACCGGGGCTGAGTTTTGTGGTGGCTTTTCTGGGGGTTGGGTTTGGATTTGTGGATCTGGGACAGGGCTCCCTTTTCACCCTTTAAACTGTGGCTGTTGTTAATGCACGTTGAGAAGGAGGGGAAAACTCGCCTTTTCTCTGTGATTTCTGCTTCAGAGAGAAAACAATCCACGCAAAGGAATTTCAGAGGGAGCTCGAAGCCTGTTGGTTTAAAGGCTGATTAATSATTAATGYTGGGGGTAAAGGCACTGCTGAAGTKGAAGGGRCTGAGCTGGGGGGCAGCTGGCCCAGGGACTGGGGGCAAAMACCATAAAATGGGCATGGAGCTGCTGGTTTGCCACATCGTCGTGTTAACACCACAATAAACCAGAATTAACAGATTCCTTGAGCTTTTTGCTCGTCAAGTTGAAGTGAAAGRTAATTATGAGGTTATAGTTAATTGGTAAAAAAAAAAATTAAATACTCCAGAGTATCACCTTTATGTAATGCCTAATGAATTTAAATGAAATACATATTTTATTACCCATTTAGCCAACTACTGCTGCTGCTCCAGAAAGTAACCTGAAACACTGCTACGGCAGCTGACAAAAAAATCAGTGTACTGAACTTGTACTGAAATTGCTTTAGGGTTTTCATTTCTTTAAAGAACTATAGTGATGATAAGTTGTTTAAAAATACTCMTTTTACTTTCAGGGCAAACACATGTGGGCAGTTTACTTGAGTCATTGCTTTCCCGTTAATAGTAGCAGGTTCTAGCATAGGATTCGTATGAATAAATGACCTAAATTAAACTCCTGGTGTGTTTGTGGTGGAGGGAGCCGCGGGAGGGGCTGCAATGACATTCCCAGATGGATTAATTAAACTGAGCTCAGCCCTCTGCTGGCTGCTGCTGGGACAAGAACCCAGCCTTAAACCATTTCAGTGCGTGATTTTTCATCTTTTTGGGAGCCTGAGAGCGTTAAAATAAAGCAGAACTTACCCAGGAACTGTCAGTTATTAAAGCATTAGGAAGTTTATATGATTTGAGAGTGACCAGTTTCTCTTTTTTCTTTCTTTTCCCCAGTTTTCTAGACAAGATTGACATAGTCAAACAGAACGAGTACACCCCATCTGACCAGGTAAGCTTTGTTAGGAAATTACTCCATTTATCTGCCCCCTTTGTCTGTGGGGGTAATTYATTCATTTTCTMATTGCCATCTCAGATATTGCCATGYACTGTCCATATTCAGTATTTCTGYAAAAATGGCTTTGTCCTTTGGATTATGTTCATGCCCATAAATGCMTGTGATGTCTGGCTTACAATATTCCACCATTTACAACATTTCCCTCGTGCTTCTGTGACACTCAAAGCTCCAGTGCTGTTCCCTGATGTTTCAGTACAACAAATAAATCCCAATAAAAGGTTTATTTTCATTGCTAGATAGATGAAAAATCACCAAGTGTCTTTTTCGAATCTGCTGATTCATTTCCCTTTGTGCTTTAGGATCTTCTCAGATGCAGAGTTTTGACATCAGGAATTTTTGAAACCAAGTTTCAGGTGGATAAAGTAAATTTTCAGTGAGTATATTTTTTTCTTTTTTATGTGTTTGCATCTTGCTAATACAACAGAGGCAAATACCAGGGTAAACTGGGAGGAGAGCATACCATATAGTTACTGAGACTGCTGTAATTCTCAARTGTTGGTGTTTTATAGAAAGCAAGTGTCTCATGACTTTTTAATTTAGTAGTCTGGCTTGAATAGGAAATGCAAACTGCTTTACTTTAAATTGGAAAGAACAAAATGCTTTAAATTTGTTTTTTCTGCTTGCTTATATTGGTGGACTGTTTACCTGTTCAGGTTTTTTGTGATCCAAGATTCCTTTTAGCTTCTATGACACAGAAATCCTGCAATTTCTTGCCTCTTCTGTTTGCATGCAGACACAAACAAAAAACACAAAATGATTTTGACTGACTGGATTTATGTTTTTTTTCTCAGTATGTTTGATGTCGGAGGGCAGCGAGATGAACGCCGAAAATGGATCCAGTGTTTTAATGGTAGGATTAGAATTTCTGTTGCCTTTATAAAACAGTTCTCTGCAAAACTGTGATGCCTAATCTTCATTTTCTCAATTGTGTGAAATCCATCATCTTTCCATGTAGTAAGGAATTCTCAGACAGTCATCCAGGGTGGAATTTTTCTTGACACATAAAACTGTAACTACATAGAATATTTTCAGGGAGAATGTAGGTGGAGAGGAATTTGAATTTGATAACTTCCCCTTGTCTTTTTTTTTTTTTTCCCTCTCTTCATTTAATTAGGTGGGTTTGGAGGTGACTTTGTGCATTATTTGCCACTGTGAGAGTGTAAATTCCAAGCCATGTTCTGTCATCCACATGCAGGTTCACATAGGTACTTGCCTATGCAAAATACAGAACTACAGGATAATTATTATATGCCTAAAATCAGAATATCAGAGTTTTATGTMTAATTGCAGCCACTTGGCTTTGTCATGGTGCTCCTTTCTGAATCATCACCCCCCCAGTAATGGAGAATGAGGTTGTAGGAAACATCTGTCAGGTTAGATGTGGTATCACATCTGGTCAGAGCTGGAGTCTCTTAACATCAGTGCCCCCATGAGTTTAGGTCAGGTTTAATTCCCACATGACTGAAATTAGGCAGTTTTRTGTCTATCCTCGAGTGTGATGGGTGCCTTCACTGCAGCTCTTTGTTTTCCTCTTTATCTCTGTTTAGATGTGAAACCTTTGTCCACAGAGGTTTTCTTAACTCTAGCCTTGGTGAAAATATTTTCTCTCCTTTGTTGTTTGGAYAAAATATTGATTAAGTTACACAGAAGTCTACCTTCTTGCAGAAAAGTTACAGTGAGATCCTAGAGAATAAATAAAGCAGAATTCAACTTGGGATTCATGGTACATTGCCACAGTTCCTGTCACAGAGTCACCTGGACACTGTGTGTGTGTGTGTGTGTGTGTGTGTGTGTGTAAGGACTGTGCAATATTTTCTCCTGTGCTATTAATAACAGATTTGTTTGGGTTTTACCTCTGCTCCTTCCTCTTCCTGTTACCTCATGGTCTGACTCATCTCTTCTGTGCTGGTGCCTGAGGCAGAGGAGGTGGAAGTCAGTGAGGAACTGGAGCAGCACAGAGAGCCAGGGATCCTGATCCTGTGATCCTGGGGATGCTTCCCAGGGAAGGACGGGGTCTCCAAGCACTGAAACACTACAGAGGAACCAGAGCAATTAACCATGAACTCACTGCAATCTGCTGTTGTTATTACTGTTCACACAGATCAAAAGTGCTGTTTGTCCTGAGGTTTTCCCCCAAGGGCCTCCTCATCCGTTCCTGATACCTCACAGTTATTTCCAGTTTTCTTTACATGTTTTAAATCTTCTTTAAATTCTCCTCTTGGCTCTCTTGTTTCAGTTCCTTTCTTTTCACATTTTCTATCACTCTGTCAGCTTCTGTTCTGGGCCCTGCCTTGCTGCCTTTCATGATTTCTTCACTTTCTCTTTTGATTCCTGGCACTTCAAAAGCTGTCCTCAGCAGCCTCCCAGCCTGTTCTCTGTGAGGAGCTGAGTCTGGCAGCTTCTTCCTGAACTTCATGATTCCTGGATATTTCTTCTGAAGTTTGGCATTAACTGAAGGGTATTTCTTGGTTTAGATGTGACTGCTATCATATTTGTGGTGGCGAGCAGTAGCTACAACATGGTGATACGAGAGGACAATCAGACCAATCGGCTGCAGGAAGCACTAAACCTCTTCAAGAGTATCTGGAACAACAGGTCTGTGAAAAGCTYTTTATCACTGAAATTGCTGATCCTGTCTGACACTGCAGTCACCATGTGTGGGTRGGCCTGGCTGGGACAAAGTTCATTTTCCCCACAACAGCTCATGCAGTGCTGTGGTTTAGGATTTGACCAGAACAGTGCTGATAACACACTGMTGCTGCTGAACAGGATGTGCAGAGCATCAAGGCCCTCTCTGTTCCTCGTTCTGCCCCTGCAGAATCCCAGCACTGGGGTGTGGGGAGGGGACACAGGTGGGCACACCCCAAATGGCCAGAGCTGTGTTCCATGGCACACACAACCTCATGYTCTGCACTAAGAGGGAAAAGAGGGGGGTTTAGGAGGTTACCCAGCTTACCTGTGAGCTGTTGCTCTGCCCACAGGAGGCTGTGAGTGATGCCTTTGCATCACTTGTTTTGTCTTCTCCTCACTTCCACTTATCTATCACTTATTAAACAATCATTATTTCTATATTATTTTGTTTTGATGCCCAGATATTTTCCTTTCATTCTTCCATTCCTCCTCCATGCCCTGAGGAGGAGGGTGAGTGAGGAGCCATGTGGTGCCCACCAGGGTTCACAGCACTGGGGGCCCTGTACTCACATCCCCCAGCACAGAGATGAGATCTGGGCTGGTTCTGTGGTCACAGCCTCCACCTTCAGTGTCTCACACACTCAGCTCTGAAAAGAGCTCTGCAGAGCTGCTCATTGGAGCTGCCATATTGAGGCTGGAGTAGTTGAAGCAGTGATGGAGCAGCTCTGGGAATTGAATGTGCTGCCCTGGGATGGGTTTGGATTAGCAGCACAAAGTGGGAGCACCCAAACACCCCCAGGGTGTGCACATCTGGAATTGTAGTAATCACCTTTGTATCTTGATGAACATATTCTGTTCAGAACATTTATACTTGGGATTCAAGTATAGGAAAGGTATAGGTTCAAGTGAAAGGAACCTTTCCAAGTCATTCCAGTGCCATATGACCTCGTCTCCAGATATTTTGTGTGACTTAATATTTTAAGTTTCTGTAGGATCCAGGCTGTGCCTTCTCACAATGTTTGGTGTCCATTTTCCACAGGTGGCTACGGACCATTTCAGTAATCCTTTTCCTGAATAAACAAGATTTGCTAGCAGAGAAAGTTTTGGCAGGGAAATCTAAAATTGAAGACTACTTTCCAGAATTTGCTCGCTACACTACACCAGATGATGGTAAGGTTTCTAAGTTTAATTTGCACTTTATTATTTCGCTGTTGATACATTTGTAATGTTTTTGGAAGCTTCAGCTAAGACTTGAAAACTCTTAAATAGATGTAATCATCAATGTCTTTCAGCCAGTTGTAATGTTAAATTTAAGGTATTAATAATGAGATATTCCTGCCTCTTAAACATTTAATATATTACTAATTTCATCATAACAAAATCCTTTTACCTTGGTGTAGACCACAGTGTGACATTTTGTCACAAATGTGTGCTCTGGACTCCCCCTATTCCTGCCTGTGGTCGTTTCCCTTACCTGCCAAAATGCCTGGTACTGGTACTATGGCCATTTTGTTCTCCTGAAATCTTGCTGGTTTAAATAATGTTATGGTTTGTCTTATCTCACAGTTTTGCCAAATATATTTCTGTCGTATGTGAGCAAAAACAAGTTGAGATTTTTAAATGCTATTACCAGAAAACATCTGTTTTAATGAGATAATTATTTTATTATTAATCAGCAACACCAGAGCCTGGTGAGGATCCCAGAGTTACAAGGGCCAAGTATTTTATTAGAGACGAGTTTCTTGTAAGTATTTCCTTTCTTTGTTTACTTCTTATTTGATTCTTCTCAAACCCAAGCTCTTGCTCACCTTCTGCTATTGAAAAATGCAAAATAATGTCAYTTCTTGTGTTGTTTATATTTAACATCCACATTCATAAACCACTGTTACATTTATGAGCATTACTGCTGTTTCTTAGCTGCTGKTTGGATATTTGCTTGTTGACACGGTACATAATTAAACAGCAAAAGAATTGGTGAGAATTAAGAAGCCCCAAATAGAATGATGAGTGAAGTCCTGTTATTAATGGGGCCAGSTTTTTATTCCATGCATTATTTCTAAAGATAGAAGCTAATCAAAAGATGCCTCATGTGTCAGGTCTTAATGTTCCTTTCATATTACTTTTCCCATTACTGGCCAGCTGAAGCTATAATAGACAGATTTTTTTTTTCAATATTGTTACAGTTATTTGTAATGGTGAGCCTGGCAATCAAATGGTGGACTAATTCTAAAATGGAGCAAAAAAATGTTGAGGGAGGCTTTCTCTAAGTGTAAGGCAGGGATAAAAGCTTTGCACAGGGAGGCAAAATCCTTTTTGCAGGGCCAAATGGACTGAGAGTTGTGTTGCTAAATCCACCAAAGCTGCATATAAATAATGRCATTTTCCTGAGTTCTCATTCCACTCTGCAATTCTCCGGTTTGCAGTGACCATCTCACCGTGTAATTCTCATCATTTTACATTTCATGTTTCAGGTGAGAGGGTGAAACCTTGTGGGCATTTTGCCATTTAATCACACTTTTTGGAGACACGACCCACACATGCACATCTCAACCTTGACTCAGCCGAGCTTTGGGGACCGGGAGGGGATTCCCCCGTGGGTTTTATTTAATTTTATTTATGTCTCTCTCTTGCTTTGAACAGAGAATCAGCACAGCAAGTGGAGATGGAAGGCACTACTGCTACCCTCACTTCACGTGTGCCGTGGACACAGAGAACATCCGGAGGGTTTTCAATGACTGTCGGGACATTATTCAGCGCATGCACCTTCGCCAATACGAGTTGTTGTGATGGAGAGCACTTTTTTCTGTGTTTTGGACTCCTTATTCCTTATTAAAAAAAAGAAAAAAAACACCCTTGCCCACATAGGGTGGAAGAGAACTGTTTGAATCTCCCATTGATTTGCACCCCTCAACTTTTTCTCCTTGCTGGACAATAGCAGCACTTCTAAGCTTGCTTCTGTACCCCTCGGACAGTTTGAGATGGCCCCTAACACTTAAAAGGCTATTTCCATGAGGATTCCCTAACACTGTTATTAACAAAAAAGAGGAAAAAAAACAAAACAAAACAAACAAACAAAAAAAAGAAATAAAAACTAATTAATTAAAAGTCCTGAATGTGGAGCACCTGAAAGAATTGGGGATGAAAAAATTAAAAACATGAAACAAAAATTGAGGGAGAGAAAACCTTTAGGTAATTTAGCACTGCTGTGGGCATAATCCTATAACCCGTGATCTCCACTTTGTATTACTCACTGCATCCGAGTAACGAAGGTGCCAAGTCACAGACCAAGTTTGAAGACAGACCCTTGAGTTTGGTTCTCTGACTGTAAAATGTGGCTTTGGGCGGAAATACTGACAATTCTCCAACAGACCTAGACAGTGCAAAAACCAACTGCTACCTTTCAGAAGGGTATTTTTAAAACCAGTCTTGGTGGTCTAAAGACAACCATGGACATTTATGAATTGAACTGCGTATGGCCTGTGATTGCAGAAAGAGTTAACCACACACTGTTTTCAGTTTGTCCACTGATGATCCCGTCTGCTCTAAAAATCATTATCTGGACTGTAGTCCTCACAGTCTTTCCCTTCTTTTTCTTCTTCCCTTCCCTCATTTTTTATTTTACTGCTGGATTATTATTCTTGTACAGACTGTAAAATGTATTATTTTGTACAACTTTATTGAAAATAACTTGTAGAAGATCTTTGTGCCTTGATTATGGCTGTACCTGTACAATGAGCTAAGATGTAAGTATGTTTGATTGCGCTGTACAGCTTTGTCAACCCTATCTGCAGCATTAGCTCAAGGTAGGGAAAATTTATCTGTAGTTTAGTTTTTCTGGTTTATAAAAGAAGGAAAAATACTGTTTAGTAAAAAAAAAAAAGGAAAAAAAAAGAAAAAAAAAAGAAAAAAGTACAAATTGTGCAAACTTAACCACTTTAAAAGTGAGGTCTTCAACAAGTGACCAGATGTTGCAGCATCGTGCTTTTTAATTTTTAGCTTTAATTCATTTAAATCTCTATCCAAATGCAAAACATGGCTTGTTTCTACATAAAACCAAATTTTGCTACAAATTATAAATGTTAGTCTTTGGTCATTCATAGTCCTTTTTTTGCTAAAGACGAAAACCAGAACAATAACAGACACGTAGGGCATCATGCAGGTCTGGTGACCATCTCTAGACTGGGCCAAATACCCACCAACCTCGGCTTGCGCTGCGTGGGCAACGACTACCAGAATGACAAGGTGTGCACTGCCCTTGGATTTGGCCACTGAATTCCAGTTTCAAATGACATTTTTATTTCTCTTTTAATAAAGAGATACTTTAGAACCTTTTTTGTTTTATATTAACTATATAAGTAGCTTAAAAGTGAAGATGTGTGGATTTTTTCTTAAACTTGAATAATTTATGCAAATTATATGCTTAGAACAACATGTGGTACAGTAAAAAGAAAAAAGAGCAAAAATCACTGTAGCAATAAGAGAGCATGTAATTTTAGTAACTACTACACTGCTTTATATTTTATACCTAGGTGTTTTATGTCTCTGTGAGTGTGTTACTTTTTCATGTGTCTAAACCTACGTGTACAATTTGTACAGAGTCAGAAATTACAGCTGTAATAACACATCTAGAACAGTGTTAGCCTATATTACTCAAACACCCCTGTTCCCCTTTCATTTACACCCCTAAACTGATCTGGATCTTACTGCAGTGACTTTAAAAGGAAAAGAAACAAAAACAAACACCAAAATTCTTGCCTCTTTGCCTTTCACACTAGCTTCCCTCCACCCAAGAGACCGTGTTGGCTTTCTTTTTTTGGGAAGAGATCCAGTTTAAATTARAAGAGGGTGTGGTCAGTGATGTCTGTGCAGCTAGATTTGCTTCAGGTATCAGATGCCTTTTCAATACTAAGAACTGCAACTGTTCCGAATTGTGAGTTTTCATTTGCTTTTGTGGCTAAAGTCTTAAAATTAATCACATAGTCCATTTTGACTAGAGAGCAGGGATGTGAAGGAGTTTCTGTCCCATCTCCATTCAGAATTCCTTCCAGAAGACACTGAATAGTCTAAACRTTTTAGCTGCGGTTGTTCCTCGGGTTCTGAGAATGATCTTTCCTGTTCCCAGTTTTAGATACTTGCCACCTAAACTTTGTAGAACTGTAGGAGAGAACGTGACTGAAAATAGGCCCCTCCAATTCAGAATGTATCCAGTGCCTGTAGGTGAAGGGCTGGCGTTTCCACTAGGTAAAAATGGGACACACATAGTGGAAAGGAAATGCATTGTGAGCCTTAATTTTAGTTACAGGAGCCAAAATCTTTTATTTTAGTGCCAACCCTTATCTTTTTAAGCCTAGGAGGAGTTGGTGTAAACACCAAATTTATAAATGGAGAAAACTTGCAGTGGTGTGAGGAATGTAATCTCTTGTYTGAGAGAAACAAAGCACCTCCAATAGAAAAATTAATGAAATAAGCTTCTTCCTCTGATGATGAGGACACATAATAACAATGAGCTATATAAGACAGCAGAAGTTTAAGAAACCTAAAGCTTTATATGAACAGAAATGTTTAGGGGATGCTTTTTTTTTTCCTATGTGAGGAAGAAGGCAATTGTTTTGAATATGGTCGAGTTGCACAAGTACGGAGTGTGTGTGTGTGTCTTAATGTCTCAGTATTGCCTTTGTTAGTCTCTTTATTAGTCCATGCAGTTTGGTGGCCTGGTAAATGCAAGTCTTATTTTTAACAGCTTTCTTTTTCTCTTTTTTTTTTTTTTTTACAAAACCATAAAGCTTTAATGCTTGCTATTTAATAAGTAACTGTGTTTTCTTCTGTCTCTAATTTAGTGGCCATAATTTGCAGTTAATTGAACCATTCCAACCTAATGCTTACCCATATTTCTTAGTTTTGTTTTATTTATTTATTTGAACTTCTTGTTTTCATGATTGAGGACTGTCACTTCTGTCTCATTCATCTGTTTGGAAACTTCTGACCTTACAGCCAAAACTTAACTCATTCTACTCAGTATTCATCGTGATGCTGAAGTGTAAGATACCTGCAAATGTAAACACTACCACTTTTATTAATAAAAGCAAATACAGTGTTTTTAGGGCACATTTGCATCACTGTAGTTGAGGTTGTGTCAGTATTTCCATTGTAAACCTATGGAGGGTCTTACCTTGGCACTAAACTGCCCTAAGCTGAATCTTTGCCCTACAAGGCTTCTGCTCAAGCATGATTTGGTGGGTTGGTTTTTAAACAGTTTCCAACACAAACTCGTTCCTGTTTTAAGTTACAACTATTTCGTTGGATGGGGGTTGGTTTAAAAAGAAAAACAACAAAAAAACAACAAACAAACCTGGTTCAAGATTGGTTTTGGCACTTCTGTAACTCAGAAATGGTTTTGATTTTAAAACAACCTTCGGCAAGCCAGTAACCTACAATATGGTCTGATCACTTTGGGTATTTTGTAAAAATAATAATAAATTGTAGAGATGTTGTGGTTTCAAAATCAGCTACTGTGCATTTGCAGTAACTTATTTCAATCCAAGAACTTTTATTAATTYGTGCATCAGAGCACACATTCAGTGTGGTGCAGCAGAGTGAGGATAGCTCCTAAAGATTTTTTTCTCTTTTMATAACCTGGAGAGATAAATCCTCTACAGACTAAAAAAGGATTCAGCTGCCTCTGAAAGCATCAAAAACTGCTCTCAGAGGCTGAAACGGGAGCTCTCTAAGTTGTTAGGAGCAGACATTGATGCAAAAGCCTAGGAAGGCATCCTGGATCAGCTGTCATAGGTGGGAGTCCTGAGGGCTTTTCTTCATTTATCTAAAAATTCTACATTTGTGGCATCGAGGGCAGGATTTAACTGATGGTGTGTCGTAGCTCCAGAGGAAGGGAAGCTAACACTGCTCCACTGTGCTGCAGGAATTGATACCTGCAGGAGAATTTCCTTTTGCCAGTAAATCTATGCACAGAAATACTCATGTTCATGGCTTCAGAACCTAAGCACCTTGTAGTCTGTCGTTGTGTTATTCCTGTAAATGATAGAGCATGTTTTGTATTATTTGTCTTAATGTCAAAAATTATGTGCCAGTGAAAACAAAGGACATAAACACAGGAGATTGAGCCCAGATGTGGAGGCAGAGCCCATGACAGCTGAGTACCAGTGCAGTGCCTTAGTGACAACGCTGTTGGTGATCGGTGCTATACAAATGTCTAAGAGTGATAAAAGTTGTTCTAAGTTATAAAATYATGTAACTCATTCTGGAAGAGAGTAAGTTCTTTCCCCAACTGTGTCTAATGTGCTGTGTGTGTTCCTAACAATGCTGGCACTCGTAAGACCTCTTCCATGGAAGYTGATGATAAAATTCCTGCTAACTTTTAATAAGCAGGATCAGGGCCATAGATCACTATCAGTGGAAATGTCACACAGGAGCAGGCCCTCATCCCTAAAATATATGTTGAGTTTGTATAAAAGTAAAAATATTTATAAGCAAACATCTGTTTGCAGTCCAAAACCGAACTGTGCCCTTCTTCCTCAGCTTGGTATCTCTGAAAATTCATCCCTTGGGACAAAAATCTTCCTGTTCTGTGACAAACTTTGAAGCATTTTTGTAAGTAAAATAAGCTACAAAGGGGGAAGCTCTGAAGCTCTGCTGATGAAAGCCTGACACTGAAAAATCCCTCTGGTGACTGACAAGACAAATTCCAAGACTGAGCCTATTTTAATCCTGGTCATAAGCAGTTGGCTTCAGGCCTGTGAGTGATGTGTGTCAGTTATGGGTAGGTAAAAGTGCTTTACAGTGTTAACTGTAGTGCACAGATTGCTGAAGTTTGAGACATAAGTATGGGCTTTATAATTAATTGTTTTGAACCCTGATTCTCATCTTACATAAAGTTCCAACTGCTTTTTACCCTGGTTACATTCAGTGTACTGAGCTGAGCAAAATGGGTGCAGCTAAAGCACAAATCTGACCTGGAAAAAGAACAAGGGAGGAGGTGGGGAGGCAAATCAGATCTCCACTRCATTAAAGATTATAAGGTGGGGGTTTTTTTCTGACTTCTGTGTCCTATAAACTTAGACTGGTTCTGTGGAAAACCGAGTTCCCCAGAGCAACAACAGCATTGATACCTCGGTAACATGGATAACTGACCAAATATGTAACAGRATATTAATAATCCACCAAAAAACAAAACAATTTGCAGGTTTTCCTAATGTTTTTGAAATCTGCCTAAAAATTATTTAATGACAGGACAAAATAAAACCTTTAAGCGTAGTCCCAGGTAGGGAGAAGGATAAATTTTTGAGGGAGAAGATTATGGGGGTTTGTGTAACAACATGCTTTCTAAAGCTGGGATACCAGTAGATAAATGTAAGCAAATCTAGAATTAAAATGTGAATTTATCTCTTCACTTTAATTTATCCAGTAATTTTATTACATGAGTTGGCTAGTTCATTTTTTTCACATAAATGTACTACTCAAATTTGGAGAAAGACAAGCCTAGGACAGAGGTAGTATGTTGGGAATGCGCTCCGTTCTGTTATTCTGTTATTCTGTTATGCAAACTGTTGTTTTCAGGCTGTGAACTTTATGTGAATTACTAATAGTGAAGTGTTTCTATCTGTAGTTTTCTGCTATTTGATGTGACTTTGGAACTGTATCATTCTTGCAAGTGAAATCCCAGAGTGCCAGCAGAGATCAGGCAGAGGAAGGAGCGGCTGTGTAAGGTTAGGTATTGCCACCTCACGGGGCACATTCCAGTTCCTTTTTGCTGCATTATCAGTTTGCTGTTGGCAARGATCAGAAGAACTTCCACAAAAAGGCAAAATAGGGGTTGAGTGATAGAACTGTGGAAGAGTTCAACGTATGAAAGGTGTACCAGACTGGCACTGAGGCAGAGCCACAGGGATGTGTCCTGAGGGGGATGTGATGGGTGATAAATATCTCAGTGTTTTTAGTCTCTATCTCTCACTGTTTTGAGGCACAACATCCAAAATGAAGTGACAGATTCTGTGACAGTTTTGGTGCTAACCTTGAGTTCTGTTTCTCACAGGGCAAAGCTCTGCCGGGCTACAGAGATTCATCTGTGTAAGGCAATCTGGGAGCCCAGAGCAGCCAMGAGCAGCAGCTCTTGTGAACCTGTTTGTGATTTCAAACTGGGAAATTTAACAGCCAGTTGCTCTGTCCTGCAGCATGGCCCAAACCCTGCTGCCTCTGGATTCAGCTGCTTTCTCCTGACCTCTGACCTCCTCACCCCACCCCCTTACTCTTGTAACAACGTGGTTGATAAGAGAATAGAGCAGTTATGAAAGGAAGTGATGAGACAACCTC